ATATATGTATGTATATGTATTTATGTGTATAAATTCCTTATTTGTATTTTAAATCCTTCACATACCTAAAGGCTTTCTTTGTAAAATGTCTTTCAGTATTCCAGTTAGAATATGTCATCAATTTTCTTCTGGGAACATGGCTGGCATAACTTTGCAATACAGACTGAAGATCATATCCTGCAGGACACTTCTATATTTTATTTCTTATTTTTAGGTGTTATTTGTATTTAATTAATTTATTTTTAAAATCATGGCAAAAATGTATGCATTTGCCATGTGTGCTATGTATTTTGACATATATATTCACGGTGCAATGACTTATTATCCCATAGATTACCTCACATAGTTATGATTATTATTGTGGGAACATTTTACATTCACTCTCTTAGCATTTTTCAGGAATCAATGTTATCAACACATATTTACCATGTTGATATGTTGAATCTATCTTTCTAATATAGCTGAAATTTTGTATTCTTTGATCAATCTGTCCACAACCCTGTCTGTCAAACCAACACACCTCTGTGTAATTGCCATTTTACTTTCTACTTTTATAAGATCAACTTTTTAAAGTTTCACATCTCAGTGATCTCATGCAGTACTTGTCTTTCTGTGGATGGCTAATATGATGTCTCACTGTTGATAAAAACAAACCAATAGTGGAAAACCAGAGCAAGGACACTAAGCCATGGCACAGAAACCAAAGTAACTGCACCAAATACATAATGCATGAGGAAGGAGGTTTGCAGACCAAATATAAAACCTTTCATGTGGAAAACCTCAGTCCATTTCCTCTCTGGAAAGTGGATCATACTTCTATTTCAATTTAAAAACTCCTTTTACTTATTTGATTGGATCTCTTAACCAAAATCTTTCTCAAGAAAATGGAAACTGAAGAGTGATATGACTTGGTAACAATTGTAAAGTTAACTTTTCATTGGCCCAAAGCATTTTTGAGCCGTGTAACTGTTATGTCACACAATATTTAGTTATTTTTCATTGTATCTGAGAATTAATGCAGTAGAGCATTCAATATTTTCTTGTTTAAATTTCCCAGAAGCATTTTTCCCCAAAAGTTCTACTCTTACAGTATACTGTTTATTTATTCATTTATTGTTAATTGTATCTTATTCAAAATTAGTGTTTCATATGTTGAGAAATTGTATGTATTTGTTTCACAGCACATGAAACAAAGACCTCAATTCAGTAGTACCTAATTATATGTAAGAAGCATATCCACGGAGAGCTCTGTCCCCAGGAACTTGCTCTGCTAATTCATCTGGGATAAAAACTAAGTGAATGGCTTCTTTGAAAACTGTTCAAGAGTCTCAAGAAAAGCATACAAATAGCATGCTTCAAAGCATTATATGCATTAACTCCCTAATCTAGGTATTTTTCTCTTTTGTACCCTATATCAACTGAAACACTAACAGCTATCTCTAAATGTACATTTGAGGACTATAGTTTGTTGATCTATTTCTAAAATTTTGAAAAATTGAAATGCATTCCCTCACTATTCTTTTTTTAGGGGGGGTGGGGAGGGGAAGGCAGGTACTGGGTATTGAACTCAGGGTCACTTAGCCACTGAACCACATCATCAGCACCATTTTGTATTTTATCTAGAGATAGGGTCTCAGAGTTGCTTAGCATCTCGCTTTTGCTGAGGCTGGATTTGAACTTGTGATCCTCCTGCTTCAGCCCTGCCCCCTGAGCTGCTGAGATCACTATTCTTTTTTTTAATTGAAGGATATCTATAAAAAAATAAGGTGAGTAAAAACACTTGTTTTCTTAGCCATCTATTTTCAAGAGATGGTTGGAATGTGTGTAGCTCTTAGTGCTAATATTCATATGAAAGACAGTGCATTTAACTTCTGGTAGCCTTTTCTAAACTTTGGAAATATCTAGGTCAGTGGCTCTAGGAACAACTAGGTTTCACTTTATAATTAATCTCTCTCAGTCTCACTTAAAACAGCATTAAAATAACATCTACATTTCATAATGAGTATTCTTGACAGATATATTCAAATGAAGTATAAAGTTTTTATTCAATCATGTGAATATAAAACATGAATCATTTTCTTATTATATGGTCAAAATTTTATGGATTCACTTCACCATTTTCAGTGAGATGTTTTGATATCAGATGAAAATTTCTATGACTACTACTTGTGTTTTTTTCCTCCTTGTAAAACTAAAAAGTGGTGTTAAGTGTAGATAAGATACCATGTGTGATAAAAAAATAAAGTATGAATAAGATACAGTAGCCTAAAAATGTAATGGAAATGCAAAGAAAAATTTAACACAAATTGAATCTGGCAATTTACCAACCTGACTTCCAACATTCATGGATAGAGTACTGTGTAATGAAATAAGAATGTAAAATTACTGCAAATAAAAAATTCAAATGGCAGATGAAATCCAAAAGATAATGAAAGATGAGCAGGACATGGACAGTATGAGATCTAAGGATAAATTTTAAAAGCTTAAACATATTTATGAGTAAATAAAATTGACTAGTCACCCTTTCTCTGGTACCTGTAGGGAAATATCCAGAGAAATGAAGGGACTATGGGTAGTCACCATTCACAGCCTAAATTACCTTGAAGATGAGAGATGGGAACAAAGTTCAAAATACAAATTTAATAAATATCCTTAAGGAATATTGGAGGTATTATTTCACTTAGAGTTAGATGTAATTAATTTAGAGAATATATTCTGAAAGATCAAATCTATAGTTATTGTTTATAAAGCTGAGGTGAAGTTCAGAGCATAAAAATATAAAAATGTGAATTTTGCCTGAGGTGACTGGTATACCATTACCCCAATGTGATCACAACAATTGTATGCATGTATCGAAATGTTACACTGTACCCCATATATATGTAGAGTAATTATGCCTATTAAATAAAAATGTTAATTCTTTTCAACATTTATGAAAAAAATGTAAACGTAAGTATGCCCAATAAATACACAAAAGTGTTATAGAGCAATTATTTAATAATATGGTTATTTTGGAAATTTTTCACAGCTTAAATAATTATGACCATTCTCATTTCATATTTAATCTATGACATAGAATTTTCTAAGAATAACAATGTAGGCCAAGATAATTTCTAAATTCTCTTTACTGATATAGCTTGCAAAATTTCAAACTCAAAGTGTAAGGGAAACACATTCCAAAATATATGCAACCAAAATTAATCATTTTTTTCTTTGAAATGTTAAAACTCTGAGTTTATTATCTCAGTATATCACTACCACATTTAAGGTGCTCTTTAATATTTCAGAGCTCACAGGTATTAGCACACTTTAAGAATGAATAACAGTGTCTTGAAATGGGGATACTAACATTTCCTTTGTTATAGGGCTTTCAAGTGGATACTAAGTGATTCAATGTGTGTAATGAGACAATTGGAAATTTTTGACATATAGACCTCACTTAGGATTACATGGAATTATTATGATTTTATTATTGCATAGTTTCATGCTAGAAAAGCATCTAATCAATCAGTCTTATACCCCTAAGAATATAATCTGATAACCCTTGCCACAAAGGGAAAGAGTACCTCAGGATTTTGTCAGATATAATGTCTGAACTCACCATCTGAACTTTCCCCACCTTATAGAAGAATGTGGAATTTATGATATATATATATATCATAACCTCACCACTAAAACAAAGAACAATATAAATTTATACCTTCATTTACTAATCTTTCTCAAAATGCTGCTTTATTCAACTAATGAAATTTTTTATTATCAGCATAATTTTTATGAAACAAAAATATGGATGCTCTGAAAATGTAAAACAACTGTTGAATCTGAATAAGTCTTTGGGCCTGAACTGGGATATTGATTTTTCTCCTGATGGAAGTTATATAAAGTTCCAAAATATATTTATAACTATAAACAATCAATTGATCACTGATAATTGTCTGAACTCTTACATTGCTGTTGCAATGTATTATCCTGTTGGATAGTAAACTCACTTTATAATGAAAATCTCTACCCCAAAGCATATACCAAATAACCTTTAGTTTAAAAGGCCATATTATCAAGGTTATAACAATATTTTTTACAAGAAAATGGTACATGCAAAAAGAAATTCTTAAACAATTGAAACCCAGGAGGTAGATTCACTATTCAATTTATAGTAGTTCAGGAAAAAAATGCTAAAAGTGTTTGAACTTTCTCAGTTCTTCTCAGAGCTAAGAAGTAGCTCTTTCAGCCCAAACTCTTATTCTTATCTTTGGAAATAATATGATTTATGGACTATCTAGTTTGGTTGGATAAGAATATATTGATAATTTCCATAGGTTCAGGTTTTCTCCTCCTTCCACAATGACTACAACTTCAATGCTTTTAAGCTTTTCAATATTTCTTTAATGTCTCTCAGAAGTATGCCTGAAAATAAAGTATTCTAGCACCCCATGCCACACCTAGTCTATCAGACACCTGGGTAGGGGAAGCCATAATGTAAACAAACTCTTCTGCTGATTTACATGCGAGTATAAGTTTTTGTGTTTTAGAGGTTTATACACAGTTGCTTCAACTTTTTATTTATTCCTCATTGTAACTTAAAGAAATAGCTAGTTTGGGGGGCTGGGGTGTAGCTCAGTGGTAGAGCACTTGCCTAGCATGTGTGAAGCCCTGGGTTTAATCCCCAGCACCACATAAAACTAAATAAACAAAATAAAGGTATTGTGTCCATCTACAACTAAAAATAGAAAAAAAAGAGAAATAGCTAATTTGGCTTATTATAACAAAGTGGAAGTTCAGTGTCAGAATGATTACCAAACATGCTGAAGGTAACTGCTTTTTATTTATATTGTCATGAAGGGAATTTGGTCAACCTGATGCCAGACAATTTATGTTAATTTTGCACAAGTTTTATATTACATCTATGCTTTCTGAAGTTCAAGGCATAATTATGTTCTTATCATTCTTAATTACTCAACTTTTTTTTTCAAATTTCTTACTGTAGGAAAATTAAGAAGAGAATGGTTCTAATTAATGAAAGCTACCCTAAAGAATTCATCCTAGTAGGCTTTGCTGATTATCCTTGGCTAGAACTTCCTCTATTTGTTATTGTTTTTATAATATACTCCATGGGTATGATGGGAAACATTTCCATCATTCTGGTGTCCAAGTTAGACCCGCGTCTCCAAAGTCCCATGTATTTCTTCCTCACCAACCTCTCCTTTCTGGACATCTGCTTAACCACAAGCATTGTGCCTCAGATGCTGTTTAACCTGGGAAGCTCTAAGAAGACCATCAGCTACGTGGGGTGTGCAGTTCAGGTTTATTTTTTCAGCACAGTGGGAGCCACAGAATGTCTTCTTCTGGCTCTTATGTCTTTTGATCGCTATGTGGCCATCTGCGACCTCTGCACTACACCCTCATCATGAATCAGCGCATCTGTATCCTATTAGTGTCCATTGTGTGGATGAGTGGAATTACTTATGGTGCTTTTGAGATCGGTCTAACATTACAGTTGCCATTGTGTGGCATCAATAAACTGGATCACTTTTTCTGTGAGATTCCAGTTCTGATAAAGACTGCCTGTGGGGAAAAGGAGGCTAATGAGCTCTCCCTCTCTGTGGTGTGCATTTTTATAGTAGCTATTCCTCTGTGTTTAATTCTTGCTTCCTATGCTAATATCGGACGTGCCATACTTAAGATTAAATCTTCTGAAGGAAGGAAAAAGGCCTTTGGGACATGTTCCTCTCATCTTATTGTAGTTTTCTTATTTTATGGCCCAGTCATTAGCATGTACCTTCAGCCACCCTCTTCCATCTCAAGGGACCAGCCCAAGTTCATGGCACTCTTCTATGCAGTAGTGATTCCTACACTCAACCCCTTCATCTACACACTGAGGAATAAGGATGCAAAAGGTGCATTAAGTAAGCTGGTAAGGAGCATTTTAACTTCCAAATGAAGCTGGGAGACACAAAATAAATTATTTAAAGATTAGAATTAGTTTATGGGTGCCGGGGGGTGACGAATAACTTCTGTAGATTGATACAGCAGGAATGGAAGCCGTTTATTGTAGGACAACAGAGCTATTTATACATTTTGCACAGCTTATCTTAATTAGCATAAACTAGATACATCAGTCAACCAATAAGGAATCTCCACACTTAATGGCTCGCTTTTGTTACTTCTCAAACCACTCCCTCTGACATTTTGCCAGGCACCATCCAGACTTGTTTATGAACTCTACATTCCCCTGGCAAAATACCATGTGTTATTTTGACTTGTCTACAGACCTTAACATATGGGTTTCCTTGTTATGATGCTATATCATGCTCCATCTTGTTTTCAAAAATGGTAATATTTATAACATTCTTTGTAATCATGTAAATAAAAAATGAAAGTCAGTTAGTATGCACCTACATGGACACTCTAATTGTGGAAACATATTAAAATAGTTCTATTTTGGGAAATACAGAATATAATAGAAACTTTGTTTAGTAATTTTAAAATAACAATAAATTCTAACAAACTGATTAGATTATGATAACAATAGCATTGCAGCCATTCATCAATGAGCTTCCTATCAGTTCATCTGAAAAACATTTCATCATGCTTTGTGACATTTGCCCATGTGTGTGTGCACAACCTGGCTAGACTCCTTATTCTGTGTGAAACACTGTGTGCTTTCAAAAAATCATGACTCTCAAATATTTTTCAACCTCAGTTAAAGTTAATGCTATTGCTTCTGTGGAACTGAAGCTCTATGAAGATTTACCTATATTAAACATTCTTCAGACTCATTCTTGGAGAGCAGAACCATCATGATTGAGGAGAGATAGAATGTAGAGAGCCAAAATTATCTTGGGCTATTTTGTCCCTTTACCACTTTTTTTTCAAAATTGTATGTGACTTCACATCATCACCATTAGGTAAAACTTGGAAGGTATTGCTAACCTTAGCAGACCTCTATCTTTCACCAGCCTTAAAACTAAAAACAAACAAACAAACAAACAAACAAACCTCTAGATAACATCTGAAATCTGTAGAAAAGAGTTCCCTGCTTTTCTATAGCCTGAGTAGCAATGTCCCCACCAATGTATTTGGTAAATACATTGATTTTTTTTAAAAAAATATTTGTTGTTGTTGTTGTTGTTTAAAGTTTAGGATATAATTCAACTGAGATGTTGTTTTAAAAATTAAAACAGATCAGCTTTGTTTGATTGGGTCTTAACAGCATTGAACTCTGAAAAAATTTTAGTAACTTTAAATTGTGTCTAATTTCTGGCAGGTATTGACTTGTTGTCAGAAAAAACTTTTCAATATTGTGCATGCACACTAAGCACTTAGGGAAATAAGTTAATAAGGAAATAAGTTTCTTTGATGTTAAATAATATCTTATGAAAGTGTTTAAAGATATTATTTATCTATTTTATACAAATGGTAAAATACTTTTGGGAAAATAATACTGAAAGATTTTTGTCAAACACAATATTATATAGAGACACTGGAAACAGTTGTTCCAAATTTTTTCTTAAGTTGTTCTCTGTCTTAGATGAATGTTGATTACTATCACCTAGCCCTGTAGAGGTTACTCATCACAGAAATGTGAATGTCATTCCAAATGCCAGGGCCTTCTAAAATTCTATACAAAAATCTGAAGATCAAGAATACTGAAAGAAGTGGTGGGGAAAAATCATAGAGATGTTTTATTTGGGCTGGACGGTTTCATATCTCCAAGATACATATGTTCAGTATATTATAGCACGAAGGGTGCTTTACTTATCTTTACATAAACTCTGTTGAAAGAAAGGAATATATTTTTATCTGAAGGTGAATATGTGTTGTACCCTTGATAGAAAGCATGACGACTCCTAAGATGGCTTTTGCAATGAGGATGATGAAATATATTTCTCATTGTCCCATGAAAATAGGACATTCCTGGAACAAATGCAAGACAGAAAATCATGTTAATAATTGAAAATTTGGGTATTGAAAAATAAAAGAAAAAATAATAAAAATTTTAAAACACAGAAACCCATTTAGGGAATTTATATCAGTAGAAGTCAAGATGTATTAGAACTGAATTTTTCCACATTAAAGATAAACTAACAGCTGCACAGGCTTATAACTGCAAAGTCAATTGTATACCCTATTCTAGAAGGAGGAATAAAATGAATATACATCAGGAATCTGACTCAACAAATGCCTTTATGATCAATATAATTTAATATCTTTCCAAACTTTTACACTCAGGTCACTAATGCCTTAGAGGAGTCCCAGAGAAGACTGGAGTGTGAGTATTGAGTGGAAAAGCTTTAGCTATGGTATAGTAAGGAAATATATGTCAGATTTGTTGGAAGAAAGGGTACTATATAAAAATATCAATAACTGATGATCTAATGTTTTATTAGAAGTAAATACTTTATTTTCAAATTATTATCAAGCAACAATATATATTTAGGATATGCACAATTTTTACCTGAACAGAAACATATATATAACACATAAATACAAGATGTAACTTCATTGAAGAATGAATATTCAATTAGCCATTTAATAATTTTCTCCAAAAGCATACAAATAGCATGTCCACAAAGCATTCTCTCTGTTTTCTACTATTATTTCCCTAACCAGCTTTCGTTTTTTCCTTGACACACTTGATCAACTGAAAAGTTAACATTAGTTTTTCAGTTGATCAAGTGTGTCAAGGAAAAAACAAACAAAGCTCATTCTTATAGATGCATACGTGGAATACAGTTATTTGGTCTTTATTTTTTTTAAGTTTGAAAAATTCTAGTGTAATTCTTTGCTTATTTTATTGGGGAACATTTATTGAAGTAAGGTAAGTAAAAAGACATTTGTTTATGAGCCATTCATTCTCAAACAAAGTAGGCATATATGTACATCATATTGCCTAATATTATAACTGAAATATGGAGTCCATTTCTCTTCAGTGAGCCTGTCCTAAACTTCAGAAATACCTAGGTCAGTGGCTTTGGGAATAATGGGATAACACTTTTACCCAGTCTCTCACGTTGAATAATATTAAAAGTATTTAAACATTACATAGAGTATTTCTAGCAGATACTTTATTTCCATGTATACAATACACGTGAACACAAAACGAAACTTCATTGGGTAGAGAATGAAATCATTTAAACAGCCATTTAAGAAACTAAAATCTAAACTTCTCTATTTTTATTTAGATGAACCTCAAAAAAAGTTTAAACATTTTTGGTTATATCAATATTTACCTATTGAACTTGAGGTCTCAGTTTCTTGTATATACTGAGATTTACTTATTTTTACACAGACAAAAAATTCATATAACTACTAAGGTTTTATTTTATTTCACATAATAACACTTCCTTTTCAGACAACACAGTACATACCTCCCTTAAAACCATCATCAAATCTCACACCAACCACAATATCTTAGCACTTCCATTTTCTTAACTCTTCTATGTATTTGCTTTAGTTGTCCCATTATGTCTCTTCCAGGTTATCACCTCTGTAAATTTCTTCTTAAGAAAAAAGTGAGCTATATACAACATATAATAAAAAAAAGCACTAAAATGCAAATATATGTTTGTGGAACAAGAAGGAAACTAACTATGTTGGCCTAAAGAAATAGTTATCTTCCAAGGGCATTTGTCAGAAACTAGAACAGGTAGTAGGATTATACAGGAATATAATACTTGCTGGGGGGAATAAAAAAATAAAGGGGATGTACTAGAAAGACAATTATCTTATTTGAAAAAACTGCCATGAGTTTGTGAATATTTTACACATTTTATTTGAAATATTCTCATCTTTTAAAAACCCTTCAAAGTAAGTATAAACCACCATTGTCAGTAATGAAGTAGAGCACAATGATTCTTGAATGTGTATAGTTTATGTTAGGACTGGAATTTGAGAGCCTTTTTCTTTTTCTTTTTTTGTTGTTATTTCCTTTACTTTTGAAATTAAAAATTAATGTTTCAATTGTGGTAAAGTGTGCAAAACATAACATTCAACATCTAACATTTTTGGGATGCACGTTTCACTGGTACTAAGTAGATTCTCATCATGGTAATAATGCAAGCATCACTACCATACTTCTCCAGAAATCTTTTGATATGCACAAACTAAAACTTTGTACCCATGGAAAAATAAATTCAGCCAGGTGGCGCATGCTTGAAATTCCTTGGCTCAGGAGGTAGAGGCAGATAGCTTCAGAACTTGTGGTCTTATTTGGTTTCTTAGTACCTTGCTGTCTCAAAATAAAAATAAAAAGTGCTGGGGATGTGGCTCAGTGGTTAAGCACCCCTGTGTTCAAACCTGGTACCAAAAAACAAAACAAATAAATTCACATACTTTCAACTCTAAATTGAAAGTTAGAAATTATCATTTTACCTTTTATTTCTATGAATTTGACTACATTAGGTAACTCATATAAGTGGAAGAATACAGTATTTGATTTAGTACATATTTAGCAAAACATCAAAATTCATCCAGGATATAGCTTGTGACAGAATTCCCAAACTTTTACTTATACATAAATTGTTTCCATTGAGATAATTGTTATTTATTTACTTACTTTAAATTGAATAATAATGTAGTATAATTTTATTATGTACAACATGGTCAACTCTAATAAATGCATTAATTACAAAAATGCAAGCTTCCTCCAGTATTTCCTATTTGAAAAGATGATGGAAATTTAAGATTATCCATCTCAAATAATGAACATTGAAAAATTTCAAGCTGAACATTACACATATGTAAAATTGAAAATGGCATATCTGTTGAACCACAACAAGAGACCCAAACAATGGTAATATAAAAGAATTTGAACTGCTGTAGTGAAAAACTCACAGTATTTTAAATATTGACATTATGTACAACCTTAAAGTTTTTTTTTAAATATTTATTTTTTAGTTGGACACAATATTTTTATTTTTATTTATTTTTAGATGGTGC